GCCTTACTAAATTTGATATGGGTAACTCAATGCTGCTTTACGAAGATAGAACTAAAACTGTTTATAGCACAGTGAATACACAGTTAATTCATTCATAATTACTTCTTTTAGTCTGCTAGCCCTAGCAGTTCCAGCTGGTATCTGCATTTCAGAACCTTTGAGGAAAAAAATGAAATTAATAAAGAAAATGTTTTGCCAAAAATCATTCTATACTTAATATTTATAAACCGTGGAAGGTATGCATAAATACAGTGGTAAAGTTCATGCAACATTCTTGTAAATGCTCTTCTGGTAACCCCATAATGTACATTCATATTATACACCTGATTTTTAGGAAAAACTAGGGCTGGATTTGATCCAGCAAACAAGAGGAGGATGCAGGAAAAGCCTTTGCAACTCTGTGTACACATATGCTTTGATAGAGTGGTGGACAGTTGTTGCAAAAACGTGTGTTTGTTACCATTCTGGCTACATCTGCTTCATGTTTCAGCTGGTGAAATGTTATGAAATACCTGAATGTATTGATTTGTAACATATCTATGCATAATCTAAGACCTTGTATTGCTGGGAGTCTTCCTTCTGGCTGTTGATGGTCTCCTCAATTTCCAGCTGAGGCCTCTGTAGTTTGCAGTACGTCTCAGTCCAGTAGATTAGGGTGGTATGAATTCAAACTTCTGTATTCAATACATGTGCTTCAATTCCTGCCATTGTTTTCAGTCATTTCCACCAAGGGTGTGCTTTACTTTAACACAGTGCTCCATTCATCAACTTTTTTTTTTTTTTTTTTATTTTTTTATTATTATTATATACTACTGACAATATGGACAGAGGGAGAGAATCAGAATGTTGAAATTCCACCTAAAGTACAATTTAATCAGACTCTGGGCGCCTGACTCTGAGAATAATTCAAGTTGCCCACTCTCAAGCACCACCCAACCCCTAGTGGCACCTAAAATGAATAATTTTGGACAACTGATTTCCCCCAGCGTCTGGGCATAAATTCCAGGCATGCTTAGAAGCACCATGGCTTAAGCAGACAGGCATGTAACTCCCACCCAGGTTTCATTGTGACTCAAAGATGTGTGTAGAGATGCCAGAACATTGCCCATGTCCCTAGAGGTGCCTAAGCCATTGACTGTGCTTCAGTCACACATAGTAAGCTTAGACAGCATTGGAGTCAACACAAACCACAGTAGTCATGAGTGTTTTGAGTGTCGAAGAGAGCACCTTTTTAATTCCCTTAAAGATTTGAGCAATCATCTGGGAAGGATGTCTGGTTTGATAAGGAAATTAAACAAGAAGGGGAGAACTTAACTGTTGTTACACTGAAAAGGATATTTGCCTTTCATGAAGACCTCAGATTTTTTTGCTCCCTAGTCTGATGATGTATTTTGTTCAGACTCTGTTGTCCAAAAAGGCATCTGTTTGAGAGACTAAGGATACTCTCATCTGCTTGTTTGTGTTAATTTGTGAGTTCTTTTGTCTTGTCTTTATAGATAAATTTTCACACTTACCAGTTGCTACCCATATTTCTGTAACATTATAACTTGCTAAAAACCTGTCATCTCTCTTACTGCTTTTGGTTCAGACCCCATGATTTACTACCCTAAGTTCTCTGCTTGTGCCGTGTGTACATCTGTACAGACTTTGAGATGAGCTTGGTGTAGGTTTCCTTCACTCTTTTTGTCTCTCCTTTTCTTATTGTTTTTATACTGTACCATGTGGAAAGGTTAAATATTCTGTGTTGGAATAGTTTTTGGGTTGTGGACGTGTGGAACAACTTTCTTGTGAATTTTTTATTAATGTTTAATACTGTTCCTTTATTGTTTTCACCCTGCACATAATACCTCATAAGTTTTGTCAGGTTTTAAATGTTTGTAGATGTGATCAGGTGAAACAGTATAGTAAACATTCAAAGAAGTTCAGAATTTCAAATTCCGTGTTATATTTCAAATATTTCGTGTAATATTCGTTTGGCTTTTCTCATGTTCCAACATGAGGTTTTATGTTCAGCTTCTGTTTGGTCTTTTATTTTTCTCATCAAATATCATTATATATTTATTGTTAAAAATGTGTATATACTTTCTCTTTTTCTGAGGCTTTTTTAACTGATTTTACAGAGTGGAAAATACCATGGTAATAATACTTAAATATCACTGAAGTATCTTACTAATCATCTGTGCCGAAGTCACCTCATGCTCAATGCATTCTTTTTAATTCTATTACAGTCACTTGAAGCCATTCAGAGAGCAAGAGCATAGGGGAAATTGTGTATGGTAGCAGATAGCCTGCTGGTTTTCTGGGTATTTCATCCCATTATTTTGTTCCTTTTCATGTTCACCATCTAGCTAGAAGTGTTGACTGAACTGTATACTTTAAAGCATCTGTTAATGATTTTTTGGTCACCAAGGAATCTTCATATAGGTACCAATGATAACTCTTCTCAAAATAAATATACTGCTTCTTAAATGTGCTAAGTTATATCTCTGGTATATGGTAGTCGTGTATTAAATTTGTGCTGGTTGTTGGTCAGATACTGGAAGAGATTTCCCAAAGAGTTGTGGAATAATTTCCATTCTAGATACTTCCAAAACTCAGCACAACAGAAGAGTAACCTGACATAATTTTCAGGTTGTCCCTACTTTAAACCCAGGGTAAAATCCATTGACCTCCAGAAGTACCTTCCTACCGAAGGTATTTCATGAATCTAACTGGATTTATCCTTGGTCCGATTCTGCTTAAATCTTCCCTCTTTATTTAACTCCTCTGAAATTGGTAATGTCCTTAGGAATTAATTTGATCTGGTCTGCTTTTCTCATTTCTCTCAATACAGTTTTCTTTGTCAGCTCAAAGGGAAGTTAGTGTGAATTCCTGATGGTTTTTGTAACACTGGCCTGTACCTTACATTTTCTTTTGATTCCTGAATGGTTTGGTTAACAGTTAGGGAAGGTAAATTTATATCACATCTACTCATACAACCAAACTTATTTGAGAAAATTGTGAAAGAAACACAATTTTAGAAGACTTATTCCTGTCATGCATCTATCTGGCTGTGAAAGTGTTAGGAGGTTATAGAGTAAAAAGCAGTGGTGGATTGGTGTGGGTGTGTAGAAAATAGTGCCACTTTGTCCAAGGACTGCTTCTGTTTGTCTTCCAGACCTACAGTACCAGTCATGGTTTCCCCTCCCTTCATTTGATGAAGACTTCTGATCGTTTCTCTTCTGCAGTTGTCTGTTCTTTGTCCATTAATGTGAATTCCCCAGTGTCCCCAATATGGAACTTAGTTGGGAAAGTGAATTGATTTTGGAGAGCTAATCAGATGCTCCCACAGCCAGATATCCTGTCTAGCTTACAGCTGTAAACCTGAGATACCATCTCCTTAGCCTGCCTGGGGTGATAGGGCTGATCCCATATCAGGGTAGTTTATTGTTCTGCAGTCACACACTCATTCCCGGTGAAGGTATTTCTTTTATAAACCATAAAACATATTCTTTATACTATATTTGAAATACAAAGTATGAAATCTAGGTCTAAGTACAGCCAAGCCTATTCTCTTTTGCCTTGCCTTTTGGCACTGCAACATCTATAGCTGTACAACAGCATATGGGTCCACTAACAATGTGGGACAGCAGCCAATTTGGTCCCAAGGATAAAACAGGAATCAGCTGTGGGAAATAAGCCAAAGAAGTGTGATTCCCACATAAGCGACTTAAATAGGTGCTAGTCCTTAAAGAAGCTCTTTGGCAGGATTTAGAGCAGGCTTCTCTGCACAGGAGGCATTTTTCCTGAGATCCTAAGTACAACAGTTTCCAGGAGGGTTGTGGGGCTATTGTTTCATCAGCTGTAGTGCTTTGCTCTTTCTTTGCCCCAACCTTTGTTGTTTGTTTTATTTTGTTTTTGTTTTTAAGAAAAGCTTTATAGCACATTGCTTTATAATTGTAATCCCATCAGCAGTTATTTAGAACAAAACCATTTACTTCACATGATTGTGGGAAATAAAATTGAAGAAATGTTTCTGGTGCGTGGGGTGGTCCTCAGGTTTCCTGATCTCTGATCCAGGGAATGCTTTTTCCACCATGGCTAGCTGATTGCAAACAGTGATATGAACACTTTTTCTACTCCTGTGTTGTGTAGAGATCTATGGTTTTAATTATTTCACCTCTATCTTAGAAAAGAAACTATTTATAATGCAGAAGCTTCAAATTAAATAAATTGATTGTACCATCCTAATTTATTTAGTACAGAATTACATACACTTATGTTTAATGGTTATCAAGGTCTGTAGAGTTGAGGTTTTGATTTGAGTTGAGATTTTGTTTTCTGTGAAATACAAACTTTTCAAAGAGCTCGGTGCCTTCTGTGATACAGGTCAGATTTTTTTTGAAACATGGACACATCTTAGGCAAGAAAGGAATAACAAAGTCAAACAACAGTAAATAATTTGTTCTAAAATACATTCCTTATTTTTTTTTAAGCTTGCTAAAGTCCAACTGTTCTGATGCTCAGAATGTCTGAGTCATTGCCCATGGAGGTCACTGGATCAAATCCCTGCTCAAAGCAGGATGAACTTGAAAGTTAGATCAGGTTATTATGAGCCCTGTCCAGCGGTGTTTTGATTAGGATATGGATTATTCCACAAATCCTCTACAAAACTTATTCAATTATCCCAAGCAATAAACTGGGAAAAGATGTATTTTAAAATATTTTCATGTGGGACATTCACTTTGCATCATTTCTTTTTAGGCTCCTATTTATATTAATCACAGATGCTAAAAAATTTAGAACAAAAGTTAATTATAAAACTTTCAGTCATTCATTCTTATAAAGAAACTGAATTGTATTTTTGATAAGAAACACTTTTGAATGCTGAGACCTGCGCATGAGTGAGAGCAAGTGTTTGGCTTCTTGTTTTCACCAGGCATTATTTCTGTTCACTCCTTCAAAGCGGTGCTTGTTTGTATAAGTGTAACAAGAAATCTTTTTACTCCCTTCTCTTCCAGGCAAGTATTTCCAAATGGGCTTCCTGAAGAATACTCTCTAGTTGCTACGTTCCGTGTACGGAGAAATACCAAGAAAGAGCGTTGGTATATATGGCAAGTTTTAAATCAGTATGACACACCTGAGGTTAGAGTCATCCTTAATTTATTTCTTCAAAACGTTTCTTCTTCCTTTTTACTCTCCATGTAATATGGCACATGTAATAATGGATGTTTCATTAATGGATTTAGCTAAAGTTTATATGAATAGACAGACTGCTCTGAAATAAGTGATAATTTGTTGCAGGAATGACAGAAATTTAGCAAAATTTATTCAGTTTAGACTGCAAAATAGAATAAACTCATATTATGATTTATAGCTGATAAGTATTTACCAAGTTACACAGAAGAATGCTCCATAACATAATTCTTGCCCAGTGTATGTAGTTGACATATTTTTGTTACATATGGTTTGCGTATGTGTTTCTTTCTTATAACTTTTAAATAACCACTTCTTTTATTTTGTCTTCCTTTCAGATCTCTGTTCTCCTGGATGGTACAAAAAAGGTGGTGGAATATATGACCAGATCCTCTCAGGGAAATATACTGCACTACACTTTTAAGAGTCGAGAAATTTATCCATTGTTTGATCGGCAGTGGCATAAGCTTGGTATTAGCGTGCAGTCAGGGATCATTTCCCTCTATTTGGATTGTAATTTAATTGAGAGAAAGCAGACTGATGAAAAATTCACCATTGACTTGCAGGGAAGGACACTGATTGCTTCTCGTGCTGCGGATGATAAGCCTGTAGATGTGAGTAGTATGAAAGGACAGACAACTTAAAGCAGTGTTTTAGCCATGCTTTTACTTAAACAGTTGTAAAGAATCAAGTAGATCAAATGCTCAAACCCAGACATTATTTTTGAGTGTGTATTCTTAATTTGAAGTCCTTAAGTGTTTTTCTTTAAACATTATTCATTGCTGTAGCATCTGCTAAGACAAAGCTGTTGCCAAAGTAACTGCATAAAACTCAGTCCTGGTTTAAGGAGTCTTTTTCTGTATTGAATTTGGAGAGACACCTAATTACCACAGATATATTATTACTATAATTTTTTTCTTTCATTTTTAGTAAGGTTAATTTATAGGTTTGTATCAGTCATCTGTTACACTTTGACAAAGGCAAGAGACAAAATAATTAAGGATTACCTCTGTATTGAGGTCTTCTAGAGTAATTCAGCTATGTAGAACTAGGGGCACATTGTCCATAGTTGTCTCTCCCTTATCCAAAAGGGAGGGATTGGAAAGTGGCCAGAGGTATGTTTCCTGCAACCTTTGGTGCAAGCATTACTCAAGGAAACCCCATAATACTCTGGGCTATTTTCTGTCCCAGGGACGCTCTCTTTTGTTTCCTCATGCAGGGAGGAAAGTAATTTAAAAGCAAGTAATTTGAAAGCACAGCAAGTAATTTGAAATCTTCAGGAAATACTAGTTTGTTTTAAGTACACTGACATGCAGTTACCAGGTTTAAAGCATCTGCCTTGGAGTTTATAGTGACCATCAGAAAGCTTCAGTGATGTTATGTATGCTGTAGGGTTCCAGAGGAAAACAGCACACTGTAACTGCAAGCTAACATTGCAGGAGGAATCATTCTTGTGGGGCACTAAGCACTTTGGCCTGGGCTCAGAGCTCTTAATTCACAGAGCCAAGCTCATGCTTTGTTTTATTTTCTAAGTCTAAGAGTTCAACATTATTTGAAATGTGTGTGCAGTCTCCTCATTTCCAAATTGCGTGCAGGTTTTTTCTGCTGGTTGCATGATATGAGTTGAATAATTCTGAGTGGAAGTTGTCAGTCACAATTTCCACATTTGCAGGAAAACATTATGGGCTTAAAGCTGATGAAGGCAGCAGAGCAGATCCTGTACCAACAGTCACTTTTCTCAATGCCAAGTGCAATAGGGAGATTAAGAGGATATAAAACTGATGCATATGAGGACAACAATAGCTAGTTAGAATTTTTCTTGTTTCTCATCTTATCAATCCACACAAAGTCTCTGAAACACAAGCTTCACATACAGAATTTGTGATTTTTTCTCTTCAGGTGATTTAGTGGCAATGTCCAGGAAAAGGTCTGTCCAAAGAAATAGATGTATGTGATAGAGTTTATCAAACCTTTGTTTTAGTTTCCTGCAGAGGAAAATTGCTTTCCTGAAAAGAAGGTTTTTGGAGGATGTCTATGAGGCTGAAGTGCCTGTGTAATATAGCAAACCAATACAGATGGATGCAACTTACATGAAAATAAATGAAAACTAAAATGTGATTTACATCAAAGTAATAGACTGCATAATTTACTCCTTAAATGAGGATCTGTGTAATTGTTTTGGATTTGTCTTTTTCAAGCATTTCAAAAATATGCAGTGTTTCAAAGAGGAAGTTTGCTACCCCAAGATAACAAAAAGCATTCTGTAATGCATAATTTTTCACACCTCATATTAATTTCTTTTGTATTTGTATTTCTTAATAGATTGAACTTCACCACATAGCGGTTTATTGTAATTCACAACTTGCAACAGAAGATACATGTTGTGAAATATCTGCAGACTTGGTAAGTTATCTGTTAAAATGCAAATGTTAATACAAAAAAAATTGTTTTATTGTTTCTTGCTAAAGAGTTGTAAAAAAATTCAGTAGAAGTGATAGTTTAATTGCCTTCTAAAAATGAGTTCCATATCTGGAGTCATGGTACGTAGTTTTTTGCTGACTAAATAAGTGGTACAGTGGAACTTCAGCAAAAGGCACTAGGTGCTGCTAGTGCTTTTTAAATACATTTCTTAACATTGATTAATGTCTAATTAGTAACTGAAGAAGCCTCAGAGAGTAGGAAACAAGTCACTGTGATGACTTGAGAATGGTTTCAAACAGCAGAGGCCATTTCAGTAGCAGTTGCATCTTGTGAAGCTTTACAGATGTTATAACCAAAGCCCATGAAAGAGTCTGCATGACAGTGGAAGAAAAGAAAAATAGGATGGTGTTGATTTTCCTTTATTCTAATACAGTAAAATGGAGGACTGGGTCTTTCATAATTGACAAGTTATAGTGGTAGATTGATAGTTGGACTTGATCCTACAGGTCTCTTCCAACCTTGATGATCCTATTAAATACTTCTTCTTTACAATGCACATGCTGATGTGTATATATTGTTTAACATAAGGGAAAACATTGATTTAGTTTAAAGGGCTCACTTTTCCCTCTTGTTTTGGAAGACAAGAATCAGTGTAAACTGTAAGACAGTAGAACCATAGCTTGAAGTAGATGTAATTATTTTGCTCAATCTAGCCCATTAAAAAAAAGACAATGAACCACAAATAGCCTCAGAAAGAGATTGTGTTAAATTGTTGGCCTGCTGTCATAAGTAGTCTGTGAGATCAGGCTCCTCTGAGACAGTGGACAGTGCCCATGACCACCAATGTTGCAGTCAGCAGAAGAGAGCCCAGAGCATATAGAAGGACTGATTGATCACATCCACAAAGAGATAGGGGAAAGTGTACCTGGATGGGAGAGAAAAATCTGCCCAAGAACAGAGGAGCAGAAGACTTGCTGCTCAGAAGCTTAAAAAAAACATGATCTAATTTCAGGGGCAAATTTTGATTTTAAACAATGATTAGTAGTTCAAATCTATTTCTAAATATATTCTTGATAGTAATGAATTGAATTGATAGAAATGAAAGCAATTTCTGTAGATTCCATTTCATGCTTGGAAATAAAATTTATTGAGCGGTTATGATGCAATAACAAAAAAAGCTCAACAACAGGATCTATTAATAACACTTAAACATTCATTCATCTATGTATCTAAAAGCACCATCAGTTTAATTTATATTATATTTAAGATGTAAGAAATGGTGGACTACTTGTTAATGACTTTTATATTAAAGCTAGTATTACGTTTTCTGATTTATTTTTTCACAACTTCCTTACCCATTATAACAGCTACTTTTTCAGTAATTTAAGGGTAAGAATTTATACTTGGATACAAATTTCTATGCTAAGTAGTAAATCCTGTGAGAATTTCTCTGACAGAAGGTTCAAAAAAAAAACCTCACAACGTCTTAATGAGATTTTCTGAAATTTAGCAAGTTCTGTTGGTTTGTCCTGGGGTGTTTCTTCAGGTTGGCTCAGTTCTCAGGAACCACAGACAGGTAAATCTTGTCTTCAGGAGTTTTTGGTTCCAAACTATATACCAGAAGTGTTTAACTACCAAAAAAAAAAAATTAAATAGTAATAATAATAATAATAATAACAATAACAATAATAATAATTATAATTATAATAATTTTTTTAAAAAAAATTAGAAGTTTTCCTTAGCATTCACTTTTATATTTTGCACTTAGGACCAGGGCAGAGGACAGGATGAGACTGAGAAGTACTGTCTTTTTTTTTCTCCCCATGGACATATTCTGTTTCACTGCTTCTAATTTTGGGAGAATTTATTCCTCTTTATTATTCTGTCTTTTGGAAGAAAGAAGTGGGAAAGTCACATCAGTTTTAGCTGGCATCAGTTTTAGAACAGAAGGCTCTCAATATCTAGGATTATTTTTTTTACAGCTTTTTTTTCTCTGTTTAGAAGTTGTTGCCACTTTCCACGTATGGTTTGTACAGGAGCATTAAAACAGGGGGTAACTTAAAACTGGTGGTTGGATGCTATTTATCTATTAACCAAAGATGACAAAAAAAACAGAAAATCTTTTTGTTTTAGTGCCCACATGAGGAGAGGTTACTGGCTACGACTTCCTCACCAGCAACTGCTCATGCCAGCAAAATATACATGCTTCCAGGGATGCAGCAAGAATCTACACAGAGATGCTACTGCTTTCCAAATAAAGTATAACATTTTCCTATTGCTTTTTAATGCATCATGCTGTTTAATCCTGCTAGATATAAAAACAGTTCTGCTTTTTACTTGCAGTCATGAAAAAATCTTACTGGTTTGTAGCATTGTCATGTACTTACATTGTATTTCCCAGTTAAGAAACAGTACATTTTGGATTTAGTTAATGTAAAGTTAGAGATGTCAGTAAGGTTTAATTGTTTGAATATAGACACAAAAAAGTACCATGGTAAAACTGAGAATTATATTTAGGCATTATATTTAGTGTGAATGTTTTTACTTGAGAATGAATGACATTCTGCAGAATGTTTGTTTTCTTTTAATACTTCTCCTGGGTGTTGCACTATATTTATTGAGTCATTTGCTTTGTTAGGCATTTGTGACAAAGACAGGAAACCTAACCAAATATATTTTAGATTTGTTTTGTTGACTTTTTTATTTCTTTTAAAATCAGGGAGAAGCAGGATTGCCGGGAGTAGCTGGTTTGCCAGGCCAGAAAGGAGAGAAAGGTGAAAAGGTAAAATATCACTTGAATCCTCTTGTTCAAGTCTTGTCATTGGCTTATCTTTCTCAAATAGGAGGTATATGGATCCTGTTATTCCTTAAAGGAATCTGCCTGAGCACAGTTTAGATCCTTTATCAGTCAGTGTCTGGCTCTGGGTGTGAGCTCCCTGCCAGGCATCTTACAGCTGCCTCACTCTGGGGTCACCTCCCCAGCCCTGTGGAACACAGTTTACCTGCCTGGGAAGCACATGTCTCCCCAGCCCTGTCACCCTATACAGAAGGCATGTATATAGTCTGACAAGAAGTTTTCCATATCATGTGTGTCCATCACTGCTGATGGACAGAATCCCGTGCGGTGGAATCATCCTTTCAATCACCAGTAGGAGAATATGAAATATGAGCTCAGTATATCCTTCGACAACGCTCATACCTGAAACTTTGTTAATTGTCAAGAGAGAAGGATCTGACATGGGCAAATCTCTAGGACAGGCCAGTTGGTCCTTTCCTTGGACCTTTTCTGAATTTTCTTGTAATGTTTACCAGGATATTTTTTAGATTGGAATTTCCTAATAATGTAGATCAACATATCAGATTTTTTCTCTTTACACTCCATTCCTTGATTTTTGTTGGAGGATGCTGAATTAAGACATGTCTGGGAATGTGTTTTTCATGTACTATTAGAGGGGGTAAATTGAATAAACTATTCTAAATCTGCCACAATGACAGTGAGATAGGAATTGAGTTCAGGGAATGCAGTGTGAGAGGAAGATGCCTGGAATGTCCTAATCCAGAGGTTAGGATAGAGGTATCCCAACCCAACATCCTACCTTGCAGCACACCATTTAAAATGTGCTCTGAAATAGTTTGTGAAGACAGGCAGGACTGTTCCTACAACTGTAATATCTGACTGAAAATGGTCCAGTTCTGGGAAGGCTTATCTACACAGCTGTTTGAAATGAAGAACATTCCTTGATAGTATATTTCCCCCCACCACAACTCCTTCCCCCCAGTACATATTTCACTTTTGACACAATCAGCATTTTTAGGTGAAAAAAAAAAATTCAGTCAGATTAGTTTCTATAGTTCAGTTGAACCTAGAAGGACTGCTATCAGTTTTCAAATTTAATAATGAAGTTTTGATCCAGAGTGTATTAAACAATTGTCAGTTTTTAGTTTTAGCCTATGCCACCAGCATAGGGAGTTTCCTAGCATTTGTTTGGGAAACTGCTCTTCTGCTCCTGGCCTGATCCATGTAGACCATTATTGCTACTAAATTGGGAAAGCAAAACTTCACAAGACTGACTTTTTTACCATTTAATCTCCTAGCCAGTTACCAGTATTTACCATGCTAAGCATAGTGCCTCTAAACAAAGCATGTCAGTGCCTGTGGTCAGTTCTGTTTCTGTCCTCTCACTTGTTCTACAAAAAGAGCCTCATTGCATGGATTCCCTATGCATGGAACTAAGAGTTAATGAACACTGCTGCACCCAGCAGCTTAACCTAAAGAGACATATTGACATTCAGGAATGTCCTTTCACAAAATTGAATGAATCAGCAGGCTAAAGTCAGGGGTAGTACACCAAGCAGGTAGAAAACTACTTAATTTGAACTTTCCTTATGATTGACCAGTACTTGTTACTTCCTAGCTTTGCAGTGGGTGGGGTTTTTTTCTTTTTATGGGGGGATAGAGAAGGAGGGATGGAGGGCACAGTATGACTGTGATCAGGATTGGCTCACTGACCTTTGGGAGCAAACAAATCTTGTGTTAAATAGTGCCTGCTATGGTGGAACTGAAAGGGACATTCTCTGAGATTTTAATACCATTTTCCCCATTGACTCTGCATTTACGTAAGTTTTCAGTAACACTCATTCTCAATGATGGCCTTGTTACATCAGTAATTAGACCTGAAGAGGCAAAAAGGCTCCAGAACATTCCAGACATGTAGGATACATGATTTATTGTCATATTATGTAAAGGAAACTAACAGACTTTGGCTGAGTGTCTTGTTAAATGTAATACACAAAATAGGCAGCTTCTTTATAACTTTGCTGGCCAGTTACAAAAAAAGAGGTCTTCTCCAAATTGTGTGTGGTTCCTAAGCACATATTTCCCCCTTTGCTTCTTCTCAGCTTCTCATTTTATTGTTTCTAAATCATATAGGCATCCAACTAATTATATTTAAATGTCCTTGCCATTGTAGCATCCAAGTGAAAATGTTAATTTTTACCTTCTTTCATGAGAAATTTCTAATTCTGTTGATATTATCTTGTTTTCAGAACAACAGTTCTTATCCTTTCATTTTACTTTATCTCATCCCAATTTCCCATTCACTTTAATTAATTGTATGATTGAATTTACGTCTTTTTGTTGCTATGGGATTGACAAGGAAGTTTCTACATACACAAATTGATATTAGGCTCTGTTCAAGCTCCTCAAAATTGCCCTTCTCTTCAATCTAATGTCATTGTTCCCCGAGGTCACACTGTTCAGGAACATGTAAGGTATCACCAGTATAAAGTATGATAGCCTATAGGCCATTTTAGTCATTTTGAATTTAATTAAAAGCCTGTGTCCACTTTATTCCTGTACTCATGGCTCATCTTTGTATCTCTGAACAGGTCTGAGCCAAAATTCAAGTATATTGCAGGCCCAAAGGGCTGAAGTGCCGTATTTTCACTGGTACAAGCATTCATGCAAATATTGCTCTATCTCTGGCAAGCTGTGCATCTGAATGCACAGGAGCATGACTGATCAAAATTATTCCATTTGTGTGAATGACCTTCCTGTTTGTATTCCTGGTCTTCAGTTAAGGCTTCATATGGACATTTCTTCACTCAAAACTATTATCTCCAATACTTTGGGTGTGAAATAGTTGGTTTGCCCTGCAGGATACTTTTCCTGGGAGATCAGCTTCTGCAGCAAGAGACCACCTCCTCTTCTTTAATTTCTCAATAATTAAAACAGAAAAAATTTCCAGGACCAACTTTGTTTTCTACTTACCAAGTGTGCAATTTGGACTATCCCTAAATAATATGCTGTATTATTCTCATAGCAGCTTGGTTCTTTGCACAGTGTATTTCACAAGTTGCGCACAGTGTATTTCACAAGTTGCTAGTGGACACAAGTCTTGTGTAAGTCTCCTGTGATTTTAACACATTTTGATATTTATTGTGGAGTTGGGTTTTCTCTTCTGCTGATCTGAGTGAGATATTTACTGTGTTTTTATTTTAGTTACAATTTGTACTACTTCAGCATGGTATTTAGCTACTCAGAATCTTACAAACATTTGTAATTAGCAAATGTCTTTTGATAATGTTGTAAAAGTCCTATTTTTTCTCAGTATGTAGAAATTCTTCAAAGAAACAGTTTTTTTAAGCAGACTTAGAGCCCATGAAATATTTTATATTGAGATCTAAACAGAATTAAATATTTTGATATAGCATTAAACCAAACCTAGCTGTATTACTAGGTTATTGGTTAACACTGTAAGTGAAGCAGGGACCAAAAAGCCAGAAGCAGAGTGCTTTCAATTATTAAAATGCCTGTTGATGCACACCATGAAGAAATTTTTTACTATTCAGCTTCATTAATTTAGATTTTACTTAGGGAAAAAGATATCTAAAAGGCTATTTTGGGATTGGTAGAGATAAGTTTATGCAATATATCATTGCACTAGGAAAATATTTGTATTAGAATGATATGAAAAGAGATATCCTGGAGAACAAGTGAAGTGTCCAAACTGTTTTTTCTGCCTGTTTTCCTTGGTAGTCCTTCTTTCCTGCTACTCAGATTTTACTCTTAAAATCCAGTCGACTTGATTTCACCTAAAGCATATCTATTGTACTATGCAGCCTGGAGAATGGTTCCTTTCTGGCCCAGTCTTTGTTGCTGAGGTTATTGACAGGGACCTAGAAGTTGGAATTCAAAAAAAAGAAGAAAATTGAGCAAAATATGGCTGGCTGTCAGTTATGACAAAGTCAGGAATTGCCAGTATACTTAGTAGAATAAAATCTTACAGTAAGGAAATGCTTCATGTTTACCAGCCTAGGAATTTATGGATTGTCCTACATAAGTTTTACCAGGTAATCATCCATTATCAAATTAAAAAGGGAAAATATCATTAGGAATGCAACATTTGTTTTCTTATAAAAAATCTGAAATGTGACTTATTGTCTTTGTTACCATATTTGCCATTCCAGTATTCATCTCAGTCCTGACTTTAAGTCCTGAGGAGTGGATATGGTGGCAGCAAGTCCTCACCACTCTGAGGTACTCAGACGTGTGGGGGAATGTCACACTTCTCCAGTGGGGCCATTCCAGAGCTGAAACAGGAGCAGGGGAACCAGCAGTCACTGGTGCTGGAGTTAAACCAGTGATACCCAGCTCAGGCCTTGGTGTAGCTGAGCTCCTGCATTGATGGGACAGAACACAGCTGGGGGCTGCTGCTGGGAGTAACAGGGGTGATATATCTCATCTATATACTGCCTGCAGCTCCCACAGTATCAGGGAAACACTGGAGTGATGCTGCCCTTGGGATTTCTGTCTCCTAACATATTCTCTGAATGTGAATTAATTTTTTTCCTGTTTGCTAATAGACATGTTTTGTTTTTTTTCACCTGGATGGTTCTGGTGATGTTGTGTCCTGGTTTTGGTTGTGACAGAGTTAATTTTATTCTCGGTAGCCAGTATGAGGCTCTGTTTTGGATTTTGCTGGAAACAGGGTTGATAACACAGGGATGTTTCATTATTGCCAAGCAGCGCTTGCACAGCGTCAAAGCCTCTTCTGCTCCCTACCCCACCTCACCAGGGAGGGGCTGGGGGTGCACAAGGAGCTGTGAGGGGACACAGGTGACCCCAACTACCAAAGGGATATTCCATACCCTACACATGGTGCCATGCTCAGTATATAAAGTAATAGATAAACAGTGGGAAGAAGGAGGAAGTGGGGGGACATCTGGAGTGACACTTTTTGTCTTCCCAAGTCACCATTGTATATGATGGAACTCTGCTTTCCTGGGGATGGCTGAACACCTGCCAGCCCATGAGAAGCTGAGCTGAAAAGAATTTTCACTGTCACCCTTAGTAAATCCTGACAATAGACTTAGAGCTCATGGATCTACCTTTGGCTGTTGTTACAGAGTGTGTACCTCATAACCTATAAATGCCAGTCTTGTACTGCTGTTTGCCACCTTATAAAGCTGTTTTCCTGGCAACTTATCCTTCACCTTTGTGAAGGACTTTAAGGCCTGCAGAAGAAAAACAAAATTCTATTAAGAAAAAAAAAAAATAAAGATGCATGTCCTATATTTTTGGTTATAGTCTGTGATACTGTTTGTATGAATACCATTAGATACCTAAAGTATCTGATATTTATATTCATAAAGGCATGAAAAACTACCCCCTTTCAGCCTGTGGTTATTAAAATCACAACTAGAAGAGAGAAGCATAACTTGCAGATCTAATTTGCAGTAGAAAATAATTGTCTTCAAGATGGGGAGTCTGTCTGCAGCTAGTGGAACAGAAGTGTAAACATACCTTGGTTAATTGGCTGGTAAGTCATACAGGCTAAAGGCTTCCTGGCGTGTAGCAGGCTGTGTAATTTTAGACTATACAGTGTATAAAAATACACCGCTGAAGGTAACAAAGTGGTACTGCTCTGTTATAATACTGGCAAGTGGCAGAAGGGAACAGAGGATCCAGAGATAAGAGAGTGACTCTGTGGGTGATTAGATAAGGTAACCTTTACCTCTCATAGTGCCAGTGGATTCATGCTATTCACACATACAGGATTTTTGGTCTGTTTTTCAGACAGGTGTTTAATATCTTTATCCATGGTCTGGGTGAGGGGGTTGAGTTCATGCTCGGTAAGAACAAGTCCTACGAGGAGTGTCTGAGGGAGCTGTGGGTATTTAAGCTGGAGAGAAGAAGTCTCAGGGGTGACCTTATTGTTCTCTACATATGCCTGAAAGGAGGCTGCAGGCAGGTGGGAGTCAGCCAGGCAGCCAAAGACAGGGCAAGAAGAAATAGCTTCAAGCTGTGTGACAGAAGGTTCAACTTGGACATCAGGAAGAATTTCTTTATTGAAAAGGTGTTCAATCCTTGGAATAAGTTGTCTGGGGAAGTGGTGAAGTCAGTCTCCCTGGAGGCATTCGAGAAACAACTGGACATGGCACTCAGCACTATGGTTTCATTGACATGGTGGTGTTCAGTCAAATGTTGATGATCTTGGAGGAGTTTTTTAACCTTTATGATTCTGATACAACTCTTTTTGTGTACTTCTGGCTAATCTCACTGCTCCTTTCTCAACTTCAGAAACATTAATAACTTCATTTCAAAGCAGAGTTATGATGTTATTCTTGCTGGAAAATGTTCTTTTCTTGGTAGAAGCAGAGGCATCTAATGTTTTGTTTTGTTTTTAAATGAAGACTATATGGTTTCAGTGTTTTTTTTGTATTCCTCTGGCATCCTAATGATTTTTATTTTAAATTTTTTAAACCTTATACTTTCTATTATTTAGCAAAATTTCTGGATTTGATGTTTTCTTGTGTAATTTTTAAGATTTATGGTCCAATTAACAGCTCATGGGATCTCCCATAACTCTCCTGATCAGTCAGTCATTTGTCCCTCAAAACTGAAATTTTCTTATATATTGCTTATGGCTTGGGGTTTGGTTTCTCTGAGAGGATAAAAGGGAGGGAGAGAAGAATTTAAATAGTGTCTCTCAAAAATATAGTGTGCACGTGACTTTACAAAAATCTGTATTACAAGCTGAGCTTTCTCAGTGTAGAACTGAAAACAGACCCTCTTGGTTTCAGTCTTCTGTTGCAATGAATTCCTTTAAATTTGGCGGACTTGCTTTTATGGAAATGTGGATATGCAAATATTTGTCTAATGAAGGACTTAATTGATGTTATAGGTGTTTAAAATGCATTTATTTTGTTAATTTTAGTGTTACATATAAGGCATCCTCCTCCACAGTGGTTGCATTCCTAAAAAAACAGGTGGAAGATGCTTTTCTATTGAGTCTGATGTGACCTGAGTAGTTGTTGTTAACCTCAGAAGTCTGTATAGCTTCTGATTGTTTGGTTTGTTTTGTAGGGTGAGATGGGTGTGAAAGGACCAGACGGCGTTGCAGGTCTGCCTGGCGAAAAGGTATGTTCGTGATTGTCAATATGAGATTTAACTCACGGGAAGTGTTCATTATGTCAGCAGCTTCTCTGTAACTGTGTGCAGAAATGAGAAGATAGAACATTTCTGTCAATTAATTAGTGTCTTACCTGTACTGCCATGTTTTGTAGCGCACTGAAGAAGTTGTTCAGACCAATAGTATTCTCTGCAGGTGCACATGTTTGGTGGGGTTTTTTCCCCTCAAGAAGTGGGGTTATATACAGAACTAAAGGAAGGTACTTGTTCCACTTGCCCAATTTGTGATCTGCAAGCTTAGGTAAGAGCTCTCATGCACTCAACACTCTGCTTCGTAGAGTTTGAGATAAACACCACTAACTTCTTAATCAAAGATTTGGAATAGCCATGGCTAAGAATGTGTGCCAGCCTACTGTTGTATTCCAGGATATGTTTCACTTCATTTCAGAATGCTGGTGTGCAAACTAGGACAATTGTATGCACTTAATGGGTTCAGTGCTACTTACCTCTTTTAGAGGAAGTCTGTAAGTCTAATATCTAGCATCTTCATTATAGAGACAGCCTCATAACACTAAGCAAACAGCTTGCTGCTGTCAGGCTTAAAATTTGTGAGTTTACAGGACATAAAATTATGTAATTGTCTATTATTTTTACTTACTATTTCTGTCTCAAATTGATAATTTTTAAAAATGGGAAGTAGATGTATATTAGAAAAGTTAAGAGTAAAAATTAAGGTATTCATTACTGATGTTAAGTTATATTGGTAGAAAAATGGCTGCAAAGATGTTCAAAGGACTTTGCAGCATTGAAGAACTGACTTGTCAAATGGTACGTAAAAGTCAGAGAAAGTAATAGGCAAGTGAAGAGGAAAACAAAGAAGCATTATGCATTTCATGCCAGACTGGACTAGCTGTTACTAGTGATCTTGGAGTTACAGATCAAGGAAAATGTGGACTCACTGTTTAGCACTAGTCAAATAAACAAACAGTATTTACGAATTACTAGGAAGAGAATAGGGAACAAACCAAAAGCATTTTAATTTCATCATTTTTAATGAATCTATCTGTATTATGCTGCAACTTGTATGATGTATACAGTTCTGGTTCTCACATTTCAATGTGAATCTAATAACAGTACAAAAGATTCAGAAGTGTCAAGAGTGATCAAGAGCACCGGATAACTTCCAATTAAAGTGTGACAATGTGGACTTCAACCTGAAGAAGGCACAATTAAGAAAAAGTGTGTCATGTTCTGTTCTCTGTACAGTCCTGAATGGAGCAGAAGGGATTAACAGGGATTTATTTTTTTTATTTATTTTATTCTTCAGTGTGTGAATTAGAGCATCAAAGCTACCTGATAGCAGGTTCAAAAAGGATAGAAAGAACTCATTATTCCTGTTACAATGTTATAGTTTGAACACTGCCACAAAACCTGAAAAGTCTGAAAATGTATTAGAAAATTAATGGAGTAAAATTCCATGGTGTGTGTCAGCCTGTTTGTACTTCAAGAGGCTGGAATCTGGGAAAACCACAGGAGAAGTCTTTATGACTGCCCTGTTGTTATATTTTTCTGTAGACATCTGCTGTTGCCATAATTTTAGCTCGGTAATTGACTGGAGAAGCCTTTGTTTTGATCCAGACAGACAGTGTTTTACTTTACTGTGTCCTAGATGTGAATTAATGGAAAGAGTTATTGTAAAGCATTGCAGATTGAGATTGATCTAGAGTGAAGCTGTGTTTTCCCTTGACTCTTTCTTAGCTCCTACTCTGATGCTATCTTACTTTAAACTTACCAGGCTACATTGCTTTTCCAGTCCAAGTTATTATTATTACAGTTTCCATGGTTAATATTGTTTGGGTTTTTTTGCTAAGCGCCTTGCAAATTCATTGTCAGGCCAAATCCCAAAGCTCCTGTTAGTTTACATGAAGCTCAACAGTCAGATCTTATTTAGTATCCAGACATTGTACTTTTTCTGAACATTACAAGTCTTTTAATTCAGCCTATATAAAATACCATTGCTGCAAATTAAAAATGAACTACCATGAAATGCGAAACTGTCAAAGCTTAAAACTTTGAAAATAATAAAAGGAAGCCAAGTATTTTGTACATGCATAGCTAGATGAAGGAACTGAAATCCAGCTATCCAGCTTCTGCTAGCTGGAGTGTGGAGCAGGGCAGTGCTGCGTGCATTAGCTCCTTTCTGGAGCTGGAATCACTATTTTCATCTTTTTGTGAAAGGTGCTGACAGGGTCTCTCCCAGGTGATATATCAAGAACTATGTACATTTGTAGAATCTTTTATTTTTGTGCTCCCTTAAGTGTGGTGTTCCAGATGCTGACATAGAATTAAAGACAATGAAGAGGAGGAGCAGCACCAAACCTGTCTGGGCTGAAGAAGCATTTGGACCCTCAGGCACAGGGTGGGATTCTTGGGGTGTTCTGGGCAGGGCCAGGAAGTGGACTTGAAGATTCTGATGAGTCCCTTGCAACTCAACATATTCTAAGCACTGTTGCTTGCAAAAGTATCTTCCACATTTCAGGATGTTGAGGGGCAGACTGTGCAGTGCTAGGAGAGCTTTCTGAGGAGCTATTGCTGTTTGTGTATCCTCTTAAGGCCTTCAGCACACGTTATCTGTTGCTGGAGATGTTAAATTGCTTAGTATGACTTTTCTTATGTTTTTGCACTGTGTATTTCTGAGCTTTATGCAGATGAACCCCTGAGGTACTAGTTAGAAACAGGAAGAAGGAAAAAGAAATTATAGTTTTTTTAATTTTTATTTTAATTTAATTTTTTTTTAAATTTAAGTGAAGATTGAGGCTTCAAAGAACAGAGGTGCTTTTGATAATAGTCCCAAAACCTATCCACTGCAATACCCCTTTGCTTTTACTCATGTTGTTATGCACAAGCAGCAATATCAATTCATTTGATGTATTTTAGATGTATATGTTAGAATGAGATAAACTTGGCTGTTGGAAGTCCTGTTTCTTTAGATTGATTATCTCAAACATACCTGACGTTGTGAAAAACTAAACTTACAATAATACTATGCAATGGACTTTATTACTTGAGAGAATCTTGACAGGAGGATCACCTGGAACAGTGCTTGACGCTCATATACTTAATTTCCAAGATGTGGGTAAATGGTGAGACATCTGTACGGCTTCATGTATGGCCTTGACTTTCAGGGATCTTAAGTGTGAAAATTGTTCAGCCTGTCTTCAAATGTGACACTTTGCCTTCTGTCACTTTCAAGACATATCGTCGCTGACAGCATAATTTCCCATTCACTAAATGCTGCAGTGGATTTGCCACAGTCTGCTGTGGCAAATTTTTTACACTTTTTTTACAGTTTTTTACAATTTTTTACACTTATTTTACACAAGTAAGTGGTGTAGACTTCTAGGAGGCTCTCACCAATTAAGAGGTTGGATCTGCTGAGGGCTAATACAGAGAACAGAGTTTAAGGCTTGATGACTCTATGGTAACATAAGAATAGTCTTAACACCCCAAAGAAAACAGAGGAGTGTGCTGGCCATAATTCTGCAGTTTTGTGGATTTTTCTCATGCAGTTCTTGTAAGCTGCCAAAGTAAAAAATGACATTTTCATTGACTGGTGGCACACCACAAGATGCCTGTTGTCTCAGCTGCCTTTGGTTAAAAGACGTCAGTGTCATAGTGCTTATGACCAACCTTGAGAGTCAAGAATCTAATGCAGACCCAGGCCCCCAAAGTCCCAACACAGTAGATAGTCAGCACCATTACATATGTGACTGTCTATTTGATGTCCTCCTATCTAGTTCCTTCATCCCCATCCTTTTTCAAGAAACTGTCTTAAGAGATTTTTTTTTAAACAGTTAAATCACCTTGGGGCAACAGGACAAACTCTTGAGATTATCAGAGGAGATAGTTCTGAGGTATTTGTTAATAATTCTAAAATAAGAGGGTAGTAGTCTTCCCTTGAAGGGAAATTTGCTTTCTATGTAGGCCATCAGAAGAGATGGAGTACAGTGGCATGATTCCTTTCCTGCAATTGGGACTGATTTGTAGCTCAGCCTTCTGGGCACACTTCTTCAAGGTATCTGTCAATCCATGATACAAGAACAACTAGAAGTTGTGGTCAATCATAATCCCTATATGTGTGCGACCTTAGGCTCTGTCCTGGCAATGTTCAGCAAAGGCTGTGTGAACAGAAGAAATGCGTTGAAGAAAACACTGTGTTAGCCTACTTTTTGGTGATTAGCAAGTGAAATTGCCTCTGGATACGCTTCTGGAGCCATTTAGTATAACTGGATTGTAGCCAGAGCACTGGCTATGGCGTGAGAAATTAAATCTGCCACTGAAGTGGAGATTTGAGGTGACTGAACTTCTTTAAGATATGCTATGACAGTCACCTATCTGCTCCAGAAATTAACCAACCCTGAACAAGCAGTTAGACTCATTATGACAAAAAACCCCAATTGCTCAGCCATTAAGAATGGTCTTCACCCATCACTGCTGTGGTCACATCAATGGTATAACCTGAGCAAGGTCAATACATCACTGTACAGTATTTCTATTTTAAAAAGTTTAAGTATTTTCTTGGTGTTGTTCTGTACTGCTGAAAAGGAGAGACAATGTTCCTGCTGGTGTGACCCACAGGCTTCTCCCTAACTGAAGTCATAACATTGTCTTACTTCCATACAGGTTCAATGTGTGCAGGTCCTTTCCTTAGCACCCACTGGGGGATTGTTACAGACTTCCCTGGCACGTGTTTTTTGTTGGGTCTATGCACAAAGCATATCATGTGATGGATCTTTCTACTACTTACAGGGGGGCTATAAAACAAGAGAGAGAGCTGCTAAATTTTACATGGGCAGATGATGATAGGACAAGGGGGAATGGTTTTAAACTGAAATACGAGAGCTCTAGATAACATGTCAGGAAGAAATTCTTTTCTTGGAGGATGGTGAGGCACTGGGACAGGTTGCCCAGAGAAGTTGTAAATGTCTCATTCCTGGAAGTGTTTAAGG